GTTAAGTAAAGTAAATGAAAATTTTCAATTATGTACCAGAAATTCCAAATTTAGTTTGTATTTCATAAGAAGCATCGGGTGAAATTGAAAATTCAAATGGAGCACCATTTTCAGGTCCATCATTGTCTTTAGCTTGTAATCTAGTTATAGTGCCAGGTGATTGATTTTCACGCCATACTACTGGACCAGGCTAAATTAAACAAATTAATTTTAATAAATATTCATTCCAAAAATTTCTTTAACATTCAGTTTACCATATCTAAAAATGGAGCATTGTCATTAATATCCCTCAAAACAATAATAACCTCTGTAGTTTGTTGTAAACATTTTGGAATTCCACCATTGTCTGTTGCTTGTATAATGACTTGCCAAGTAGCATAACCATTAGGTGGATCACGATCTAAAGGTTTAATTAATGAAAGGCATCCGTTTTTATCAATAGTCATCAATTTACGTTGGTCTTCTTTTACTACTGAGTAAACAATATGTTGATCCAATGATTGATCTTGAATATCAGGATCATAAGCTTCCAACTATATCAAATATTTAATAAAAAAATAATTAAGTAGAATATTTTTATAAAAAACTATTAAGTTAAAAATAAAATAAATATTATTTTTGTATAATTTTACTTTAGTTATACATCCTGGAACTAGTTCTTCTTCCATGATTGTAATATTACTCTCATATTGGCGGAATACAGGTTGCATATCATTGACATTAGATATTTTAATTTCTACAGTACAAAAATCTTCATAACGCCCATCATAAGCTCTCACTTTTAAAACATACTAAACATTTTAAGAAAAATAAATTAATCTTGATGAAATATTATATTTTATACATATATATTAAGTTTGTCAATACTTACATTTGTAATATTTTCATAATCTAGTTGACTATTAACTTTGATTTTACCAGTGGTATTTTCAATTAAAAAAGCATTGAAAGTATTGCCTTCAACAATACTGTATGTGACAGGTGAGGCAGTATCTTGGTCTAAAGCTTTCACTTCAGTTACCAAAGCATTTAGATTAGCATCTTCTGGAATTTCTTCAGCTTCATAAACAGACTGGGTGAATTTTGGAGCATGATCATTCTTATCAGCAATTTCAATACGGAACACTTGTTCACCTATACAAATAT